AAGGGTACAACAAGTACACAAGTACACAAGAGGGGCAGAGTATTACTGCGAGAGTATAGTGGACACAGAGCGTGGGTGGGGAGTGAGAGAGAGAGAGAGAGCAGGAGGGAGGAAGGAAAAGACGCAGAGGAAGAGAGTTTGTTGTGGAGAGTTGACCGCTGGCATGTTTGGTTTTTATAGCCTCAGAATCCTACAACACAAATTAAAGTCACTTATTTGTGAATGTAGCATGATGCTAACAAACAGGTGGAAGCTAGGCGTGATCCAAAACAGTCCTGGATATACGGTGTTTGTGAAGGAACAGCTCAACTTCTTGGGAAACATCTTACCTGTCAGCGTTGAAAGTTTTCCCCATCCGTCCAAATGCCTCTTACATTTAGACCCGCAGTGAATCCAGAAATCACCATCACACAACCATTTCTTTTAAAATGTCACAGCAACAAGGGTTGGATTAACTACCAGAGAAGGTCCTGACCTCCCAGGGGGGCCAGGAGCAAAATTCTGCTTCGAGACCCGAGTGCCACGCAAACCGTTTTCCATTACCACACCTGACACCTCCCACTGCAAGCCTTTAACGCTGTTTGTTCCATCTGTCAGTGGAAGAATAAGCAAACTGATATGGAGCAGAGTGAGGGATTAAACAGTATTCATTTAAGTTGTAGAATCTTAACATGCATAAATATTAGCATTAACATATGCAAGAAATTTTAGAAAATATAGAAACACTGAGTTCTGGCTCTGTTGCCTGGTAATGAGTCCAATCCTTAAAATATTATGCAGCTTTGGATACACAGTGTTATCACATGCCAAAAGCTACGGCTACATGTTTTAAACAGTCAAATAAACTGGTGATCCATCATCTCCTCCAGTGACAAACTTCAACACAGTAAATTATAAACACTATTTTTCATTTTATCAGCTGCGTCAGACCTGTTAAAGTGCCTCCAAATGCTATTTGTACAGCGGCTTGGCTCACATAAGTTCTGCGGTTCTCTTTTCATGATGAGGATTGTCCCACTTCATCCTCTCTAAGGTTGTTGACAAGTGCCTTGAACCTGCAAACTTTCCAACAGCCAGCAGGGGGCAGAAAGAAATTCGATTGTATAGAAAGCTATTAGAAAGTGACACTATTTTCTGTTTTCGTAGTCATCTTAGTAAACATTTTCCGAATAAGTTTATGGTCCCAGTTGTTAGTTCCAGGTGTTTGTCAACACGGCAAGTTGATAATTTCGTAAACGATGGTCCCATTGAGATGAAAATAGGCAACGAAGCAGGTTTCTTTTATTTTAGGGCGACCACAAGATTGACAGTCCCGAAGCTTTCTCTTTTTTTTAAGAGAAGTTAAAAATGCAGAAGTTTTACAGGAAAATGCTTAAACAGACAGGAGAGAAAGGTAAAATAAAGGAGCATCCTGATAAGAATGGGACGATTTAAATCTTAGCTAGCTGGCAGCGAGCATTGTTCTGTCCGAAGGGGGAAAACTACATATTACTACAACCAGATATACCTGGTGTTCATTTATTAGTTTGTTTGTTTTACTTTGGACAACACAATGTTGGTTAGTCTCATAGTTTAATCATAGCAACTGGACTTACTTGAGTTTCTCGAAAATGTTTCCTGTGCGTCCAGTCCTTATGCTAAGCTAGCTAGTCTAAACACTTTATTACTCAATAACCCCACACCAGACGGTAATATGGCATTATTTTTTTGCATCTAACTTGTGCAAAAAAAAAGACACTTAATGTAGTAATGAGTGCTTCAAGATGCTAAAAAATATTTCAAGAAACATCTCACTTTAAATGCCACATCTACAGAGAACAGGAGCGCCAGCATTGACAGTGACTTTGACCTGGTTCGACTCCTTTTCACCCAAGGTTGAAGTGGACTAGAAAGCTGCACTCGTATCACCTCTCCATCTTTGTCGCCACGGTTAACAATCCTGTAGCATTTTCACGGAGTACATAAACCCTTAGTTTAGCATAAAAGCATCCAAATATTTCAATCATGTTCACGTCTATTCTTTTCTACTTTCCAGCTCTGACCAACAAACAGACAGATCTATTTGATATTCCACATTACGATGACATACGATACTCAGCCTTCACCTTTGATTACAGCTAATATCTGATGCTACGCTACTAGTTTGTCTTTAGCTAACTGCATTTCCTCCTACCGGGCACGAAACAGATATGACCTGTCAAAGTGCATTAATCTCTAAAGGCTGTGTGAAGGAAATACTGATGGTATAATGTTGTCTCAGACTTTGTGCTTGCATGTAGTTTTAAAAAGACTTTGTAAGGAGCTTCAGAAGGAGCGCCGGCGCCTAGAAGCAATCTGTGAAGGGCAGGATATATCCTAATTAAGAGAGCATCAATGTAATGATGCCATTCATGTAGAGTGCTTCTGACATCTCATACATTTGCAGAACAATATGAATGACTAAAGCTGTTTTTGCTGTGCTGTGGTATCTTACTGAAAGTCTCATAGCTTTGTCCCAACCAGTACAAAAGGACGTATTCGTCTCCGTCTGCAAGCAGAGTTAAAGGATCCTCTCTTTCTCCTTTGGTGCCGTTAGCTGATGAGTCGTCCTCACTTGAGATTTGTTTCAATCTCGCCAAAGTGTTCCTTTGATTTAAAGGTGTGGACGGCCGCTGTGAGATAGAGGAGAGACGTGACTTCAGCCAGTTACACAAGTGGAGAAGGGCTGTTTTTATTTTATTTTTTTTACCTCCGTGTGTTGTTGGGACAGTTGGAAGAACTAAAGTAAAAATTTGCAAATGATCTCGACCCCCGTATTTGCTTGAAAACAAAGACAACACTTCAAACCGACTAACTGGATGGCTCATTTTGAATTCGATGCGAGCGACGCGTTTCAAAAAAAAAAAAAGCTGGGACAAGGCCAACAGGAAGATAATAATGGAGCTGTGGTTTCCCAACACTTTATTGTCTGATGTACCCAGACAGCCTTGTCAGTCTGATTAAAGCACCCTTCATCAACACCACTCATCGTGTGTTATGCTGATTTCAAAATGGATGTCATTTAACGACCCCCTTCACTCAAAATGTGTCTATATGGGTTTTTTTTTTCTTTTTTATTTGCTAAAAGTGAAATTCTGTCATGAGTAAATAAGCAGACAACACAATGGCCGAGTGTTTCCCCCTTGAAACTGCAGTGTATTGATTCAGACTTCCAAAATTTCGAACCTAAAGACTCAATCGGGGCAGGATGGGAGTTTATGTATCAGTGGCGTCGAGTAGTTTCACAGTGTTCGAGCAGAGTGGTCGGCGAGCTGGTGTGCTTGAGCTACACTTAAGTCAGAGATGAGTCATTGTGGATTTATTCGAACAGCTGGAGATGGTCTTTAACTTATTCAACACTAAGTAACTTTGGCTTGGAATTCATGACCAGATGTGGTTTTGATTAATCACTCATGAATTCTTAAGTATACTTCACATCATTACATATCTGGTATCAATCAAAAGCAGACAAGTTGACGGTTAAATATATCTGGAAGTTTACTCTTGTCATACAGGTGAAATACAGGTGTGAAGAGGTAAAGGTAAACTTCATAATTACCAGAGATATATCCCAGTGTCCTCGCCAGGACTTTTTTTTACAGCGTACAAGGGCAGAAGTCGTCGTCGACCCGGGGAGGTGGTCTTAGTGAATGGTGCTAATGGTTAGCGGCGAATACACTAGCGAATAGCAGCGTTAGCAGCGAAAACGATGGTCGTGAAACTCCGTCGGCGCTTGTGGTTTTCCTGTTACGTGCCCTTGAGAACAACGTATCGGCCCAATTTGCAGCGTAATTTTTTCAGGCAGCAGCGTAACAGGTTGTTATTCTGTTATAACGACCCTGTATGCAATTATTATTGTTACTATTTGCATAATTTATTTCATGACTGAATCGCTTGTTCACATGCGAAGATTCCCACTGATAGACAATCAAAATGAATGTAACAGAAAGTCGCCATATACCGGAGCCCGCTACACTGGTCTGCAGGGTTGAACAGGGTGAAAGGCGCCAACTGGTGTAGCGGGCTTTTGTGTTGAAAGGGGTAAAACACCATTGACATATTAAAATCTGTTATAAACTACTAATACTGATACAATTGGACTGCCAGATTTTAGGTTGCTTTGTTGAAGTGGCTCAAACTTTACCCATTACTTTTAGCTAAATGCTCTTTGATCTTTAACTTTTAGCAGCTTTAACTCTGAATCCACTACTTTCACCATAAGTATTTGGTCCGTTTATCTATTAATCGTAGGCGATATTTATCAACTACCCTTTTCAGCATGTATCCATGACAGCTCACTGCTTGAACGTTTTATCTGGTAGATCAGTTTAATTCAGCTTCTAACTCTCTTTCTGACTAGATTTTGCATAATGTCAACTGCAACAAGTCGTGTTCTGGTGTACCAACTGATTCAGGATGTAAATAGATGTTTCTTAGTCATAATTTAAGGTGATGGGATGTGAAGGTGATCTCATAGATTGCTCACTAGGACAGGGGAGGCTGAAGGGAAGAATTGGGACACAGGTACATGCCGTCCTTTTTTGGGGGGTTATTAAAGCCAAACATTTTCTCCTTTTCCTCCCCGGAGGTGTCGAACATCACCTCTACTCTAACCTGCTGTCGTTAATCTTGATGCAAAATTATCGAACTAAACAAGAAATGAACCAAAATTTGCATAATGTTCACTGAAAATTAAATCTGGCATTTTGGCGGAAGCTGAGGAAGTGGAAACACGAAGCCCAAAGGACACAAAAGAAGGCCACCGAATGCATCCCGCCATTTACGGCAGCACTCGGTTGTACTCTGTGAATTTAACAGCCCCCTGTTCTCCTTCCTGTAGGTGGAATCACTAAGCAGCGGTTATAAATCAGATGTACTTTGTGGTGTTCTTGCTGCCGGGCACAGATGTATTGAGTGTGTCTGCCTGCTATTTAACAGTGCACTCTATAAATATAACCGTGGCCTCCTCCCACTGTGTACAGGTAGAGAGAAGCCCTACATCAAGCTGCAGCCATGGATGAGATGGACCTGCCCCAGATGAAGAAGGAGGTGGAGAGCCTCAAGTACCAGCTGGCCTTCAAAAGAGAGAAGTCCTCCAAAACAGTGACTGAGTGAGTAGTCACTCCACTCCGCGCAGGGTTCAAGACCCCGAAATCAACTGAGCGCATAAATAGCTCCGACCCTCTGGGACAAAAAATTGAAATAGTTTTTTTATTTTTGCCAAATACACTGAGAACATTGCTGAGAGCACTTTCTACACAGTAGAGATGAAGCCACAGCCGGTCGTGATTAGCATTAGCTTAGCATTAGGACTGGAACACAGGAGAAAACTGGAAACAAAGCAACAAAAGCACAATAATAGGGAATTTAGCTGTTACTTCTTGTGTTTATGCTAAGCTAAGTGGTAATTCAGAATAAAAGCAACAGGGGTGTTTGATTGTCGTTTTAAATTATTAGGATTTCCTATTTTTATTCTGTAGTTTTACCTACTGGTAGTTGATAACTTTATTCACACATCTGATGTTTGAGTGTGTAACTGTGTTTGCCGGATTAACCGACATACTTGCATAGACAATAACACACTGTTATATACTGATAACATGCATGCTGTACACTGCAGAGCTACACAGCATGCATCACCTCAGAGCTGTTTACCTGCAAATGAACTTCATCTTCCTACAGTGACGTACACTGAACAAAACAATCTCACAGTCTCAAAACAATCTCATATTGAGGGCATTTCATTTAAGGTGGCTTCATTGTGCAAATTTTCAATTCTTGACCTCAGAATCAGGAAGCAAAATTTGAACATCATGATCAAATCCCCTCTTCTAAAAATGTTTGNCCCTTCATCAACACCACTCATCGTGTGTTATGCTGATTTCAAAATGGATGTCATTTAACGACCCCCTTCACTCAAAATGTGTCTATATGGGGTTTTTTTTCTTTTTTTTTGCTAAAAGTGAAATTCTGTCATGAGTAAATAAGCAGACAAAACAATGGCCGAGTATTTCCCCATTGAAACTGCGGTGTATTGATTCAGACTTCCAAAATTTCGAACCTAAAGACTCAATCGGGGCAGGGTGGGACTTTATGTATCAGTGGCGTTGAGTAGTTTCACAGTGTTTGAGCAGAGTGGTCGGTGAGCTGGTGTGCTTGAGCTACACTTAAGCCAGAGATGAGTCATTCTGGTGAAGGTCTTTTACCCCTTCAACACTAAGTAACTTTGGCTTGGAATTCATGATCAGAAATGGTTTTGATTTTAAATCCCTCATAAATTCTTCAGTAGACATCACATCATTACATATCTGGTATCAATCAAAAGTAGACAAGTTGACGGTTAAATATAAATGGAAGTTTACTCTTGTCATACAGGTGAAATACAGGTGTGAAGAGGTGAAGGTAAACTTCATAATTACTAGGGATGTATCCCAGGGTCCTTGATTTTTTTTTTTACAGCGTGCTAGGGCAGGAGTTGTCGTCGACGACCGAGGGAGGTGGTCTTACAGTTAGCTGCTAACAGTTAGCGGTGAATACGCTAGCGAATAGCAGGGTTAGCAGCGACAACGATGATGGTGAAACTCCATTGGTGCTTGTTGTTTTCCCGTTACGTACCCTCGAAAACAACGTATCGTCCCAATGTGCAGCGTCATTTTTTTCAGGCAGCAGCGTAACGGGTTGTTATTCTGTTATAAGGCTGGCAAGAACCCTGTATGCAATTACTATTACTATTGGCATAATTTACTTCACGACTGAATCGCTGGTTCACATACGGGGATTCCCATTGATATCAAAATGAATGTAACAGAAAGTCGCCATATATCGGAGCCTGCAGGGTTGATGGGGTGAAGGACGCAGACCGGTATAGCGGGCTATCGTGTTGAAAGGGGTAAAACACCATCGACATATTAAAATCTATTATACACGACTAATACAGACACAATCAGTTTAATTCAGCTTCTAACTCTCTTTCTGACTAGATTTTGCATAATGTCAACTGCAACAAGTCGTGTTCTGGTGTACCAACTGATTCAGGA